AAGTTCTATTCTTATATCAATGCATAATAAAATCTTTAATACATCTATGTAAAGTTCTCTGTATGTTACGTGAATGATTTCATACAGATATTGATTTGTTGTGGTGCATCGGTTGTCTACATGCCTACTACACTGTTGAGAACTGGATCTTTCAGCCTCAAATGTGTGTGTTCTCACCTTTTAGTTAATTCTTGTGGCCTCTGACACACACGACAATATTTGTTGTGACATTAGTATAATTAAACCTCTTCCCTTCACTTGATATCACTTCCTTATGCTAGGAATACACACACAATAAATGAAATGCGCATGTATTTGAACAAAATAATCTCTTCTACTTGTATGCTAAGATATCTAAGGATTTGGTGAACTCCAGGATGTTCTCTTCATACATTTCTGGTAGACTTTTCATTGATTAAGAGTAAGAAATCAGCTTACCTATAAGGTAATTTAATTCACCATATTAAATTCATTTTGACCTTGGGAAAATGAACGGTATTATTCGACGCCAGCAAATGCTGTATACTTTTTTGTAGAAGTGTTTTTATTTGAAATGTACTCTTATCATACTAGTGAGTGAGTTTTAAGTGAAATCCTAATCTCATCTCTTCTCAACTACTTGTATTCTTAACTTTTAAAATTAGTCTAGTTTGATTAGTTTAATTTAATTTTGTATTCCGCGTTAGTTGTTTATATTTAACAGAAGTGTTCGGTCTGTGTAGACACATCAGGTTCTAGTGCGAACATCTAGACAATGCCTTAGGACTAAATTGTCATTTGATGGACGATGACTAGCAATGAATTACAAGATGCACACTTCGTCCGATTTTTCGACTCGTTAGTTGGATATACCTGCAATCTGAAGTGACTAATGGTATTCCTAGTAAGACACTAAGCGAGCTACCACTGTTTCAAACATCGAAGAGTTATCCTTTGGGCCACGAGGGTCTAAAATAGTAATTTCATATCCAGCATCAACACACTTGACTTTAATTGTACCTACATCGATCACCTTTTACAATGCATTTCACTAGCCGTTAAACTAGCTACTTTGAGTTTAATGTAATAAGAAGTGTGGTGAGAGCTGGCTGCTAGCCAAATTGGTAGACAGTAATTTACGTCAAAGTTTACGTCCTCAATATTGGTCGTGGGAAAAATATGAACAACGACTGATTTAACAATCAACCACAGCAGACTTAGCGTAGGCGGATACAGTTAGCAGACAGGTGATCTGACATTCAAGAAACAGCCACAAACAGATGAAAGACTAACTTTCAGTGAGAAACAACCAATCAGTAGACTGTATTTGTTTGCTTAAATAATCTATAATAATGCACATGAAAATCTATAAATATGTGTTGATTTCCTTAATAAACGATCTGTTGCTTGGCCCTTGTCTTCTGTTGTTACAGAAGTACTCTGTTATTTTACACCACTAATAATATAAAACAAACATATTAAGTTATGTAAGAGTAGAGGTGGGTGAAAAATAACATAATACATTTAAGAAAGCATCCTATACTCTGCAATACTTTTATTTGTTGAGAAAAACTTAATTAGTAGACAGAAGACAAGTAGTTCAGCGAAGAGTCTCTTTTCGGCGAATTCATTTTCATAGCTGTACAATCGCAAATATATATGGTTATTTTGTGTGTGTGTGTATACATTAAATTTGTCAAACGAAAATACAATTAGTAGGTTCAGATGAATTGGATGTTGATAAGAGGATAGCAACAAAAGTGATGAGTTGTCATAAATGATTGTTAAATAAGAGTTACGTAATGGCATGAATAGTTTGATGAATGAGTTGTGCTCAAAGGGTGTACATGGAAACAAAATAATATACAGAATTACACAGGGGTTTTAAGTTAGAAAAATAAGCATACAAACAGAAGTAAGGTCAAATCAAACAAACAAAGAAAAGTTAGGTCAAATCAAAGGAGTAGTTACCATGCGAGTAGAAGTGGTTGGATAATTTTCTTTTGTATGCATAGTTCTGGTTCCTCCAACTGGATGGCTAGGGCTTCTGCGATGCAAAGAAGACGGAATCGTACTGTCTTTGGTAGGTTGTTCTTCACTTTGTAGATTACTTTGAAGGAGGCGTTCGTTGAGATGGAATGACCAGTATTGACGAGATGTTCGATTATTGCACTCCTTATATGGCCATTATTTCCTTTCTGTAGCCACGCTGGATAGTGTTCTTTTACCCTTTTAGACAGGATGCGCGTTGAACGACCGATGTACCTGGCTCCACAGCAACAGGTGAACTGATATATACACATAGAAGTGGTCATGTGCGGAATCTTGTCCTTTGGGTTTCTGCAGATCAGCGGGCGACTGGAGAACACTATTCTTAGTGTTGCCGCATGAATTCGCTTTTTTTCATAGTAATACCTGAAGCTATTGGGCTGCATGCTTATAAGAGGCTGCTGAAGGGATCATGATTTCCAGACCTAACACAATTATCCATCATCTTATGACTGACACATCGTGGGTTTATGACTTAATTAACTGTTCCATCCTATTGATAAGAAACAGTACAAAATTCATCCGAACATTAATAACAGAAGGCCAAGTAACGCAATGATATCAGTTATTGAATAACCACTGCTACTGTCCAGATGTGTGCTGCAGGATCTTATAATTACTTTTATGTTGCCGGAGCGGAATGCGAGCAGTCAAACGGAATGATAGGCGATAATCTACTCGGGGAAACTTAATTTCGTGATTGCGGCTAGGTCAAAATTATGTTTCTTACGTAAGTGATTTAAGTTGTTGTACCGCATTTTAACTATTAACAAGTGATGTGGAGTCAAAAACATCTGGCTTCTATCGTCAGTACCCATACACCTACGCAGATACACACAACTGTCGCTAACTTGCTGCAACAGTGTCTACAGAATACCGTCAATGGTAGGGTTAGCGATATTTAACTTCTGTGCATAATCCATTAGTAGCATGAAAATATGGTGGCTGTATTTCTCCGGTTTCCCTGAAACGTTTGGCATAAGGCTTTCATAAATTTCAAAAACTAGTCTTATTCTTCGAATTAAAGACAACAGTGATGTCGAGAAATACAATCTCCGGAGACTAATACGGTATGAAAACTAAACCGTTTTAAGACGAATAAATGACTAGAAGACAATATTAATATTTCTCGAACAAAAAGCTTATCTGCGTCGGTGGCACAGCGGTTAGGACTCTCGCTGACCATGCGCATAGTCCGAAGCTCGATCCCCTGCCAACACACACGCAATATCTATTTGGGCTACCGATATCACATGCTGAAAATTCCATACTTGTACCGAAAATACGGTGTGGCATCAAGCTGTAATAAAAAAAGCAATGATGGACACAAAATACGCACGACCATGTGTTATCTCGAAGAAAAAATATTGAAATCCATAAGGTGAGATTAGCTGAAAGTCGTTAACCAGTAACTTAATTCAAGACCATGAGGGCCCGATTTTTGACCAGCATACATCAAGTTTCTCATGATCAGTGGATTTTTATCAAATACCTGGGCCTGTAGGTGGTCCAAAATTATTATTATTCACAGTCTTGTCAGTAAAATTGGGCGGAATGCAGCCATATTTGTTTTTACAAATTATGAAAATAACGATCATTTTCCCATACTACAGATATTAACTTAATATGAATAATGACATTCAGACTCAAATAATGATGTTAGGCATACATCTGGATGCCGACCTCATCATTCCATTTATTTGATATTAAATTCCATACAGAATGTTACAGCATTGAGTAAACTATACGGAACAAATACGATGTGATGCTAATTCATTGACTAATGATTACTTTATATTCATAATTAATGGACCTAGTCTTTTCATTAGTAATGTAACATCAGAGGTATGTGAGTAGTCTTTAGACGTACATTACATTCTTCAATATTTCTAATAAATGTCGTACGCTTACAAATCAAAGTCTAGAGTGATAATATGCAATACGAACTTAATCTCTCGCCTCCTCCCTGATGTACAATCGATGATATAAAAGCTACTCGAGTCGACCAATATTAGTAAGCTTGGCAACACACTTTACACTGTGAGTTCACAGTTAGTTTACAAAATGCCATGTAGTGCACGTATAAACCACAGCGGTTTCAGCTATCCACTTAGTTTATCCGGTTACTATTAGGTAGCAGTTTCATTCTGTGGTTGATAGTCACTCTGTTGAGATATGTTAGTGGATCTCATTGACGTAAAAAATAATTAACAGTGCGAGTAATAACAGATGATAAGTTTATCTGATGTAGCACACAGTGATACATACAGCATTCGTAGGAATGAAGCGACACCAGTCGTAGATATACGAAAAACTGTACTGGAAAAAAAACAGGAAGGATGTCTTTCCGGTCATTTCATCTTCCAAAGCTCTACAATCATATTTTATACCTAAGTTTACAAAGTAATTATATCCTATAATCTCCCCTCCTTACTAATGAATGAATTTTAACTATGTAAACTTACGTATGAAAATGCAACTGTATAGCTTATGAGGACGAAAATGGCCGATGAGATATTTTTCATGAGCTCTCTAACGTCCTAATGAGTATTTTCCATGATTACTATGGCAGAAAACCAGGTAAAAAACATAACTATATAAAGCACATTAAGAAGCTATATGAATTGTTGTCAAAACGCTAATAAGTAATTAATACTGTTTCGGAGTGATACACTAAATAAACTCATCTACTATCCTGTTATGCTCTACCGCAGTGCCTAAATTCTGCTGCTACATACATTATTGAAATTTCCGCTCAGTTACAATTACAGTAATTTGTTACTAAATATATCAAACAAAAAAGGTACAAACTACGTCCTGTCAGCGTTCCTATACAGACTAGCGGTTTACGTCTTGTAGACGTTGCACACAGCTACTGTGTTGACAATAATTTCATGTAGTGTTAACCATGCTCACTTGAAATCTACACTTTTTTAAAATGAAGCAAAGAAATAAAACTTTTTTTGATTTTTCCAGAAATTTATTTTTGCAGTGGTTTTTTTTATCATGGTGAAAGAAAGTCTATGCTGCACCAGAAAACGAAAATTCGACACGAAAAATAAGTGAAGAAATTGGGCAATCAATTAAGATAACACTTGCAACTGTGTGAAACGAAAAGAGAGGCAAGGAAAAGTGCATAAATGTGGCAGGTACGGTACAAAAACATTAACATTCTCAGTGTTGATTACGAAGCATCAAGCAAACACGTAAAATCGGGGGTTGAAAGGGAATAGAAGGGAGTGTAAGAACGAATAAAGAAGCATAATGCAAGAGAAATACACACAAATAGCACAACGACTAGACCACAAAAAGACAATTTTGAAAAATGTTGTGGGTCAGAATTACTTAAAGAGACAGAGATATAATGTAAAAACAAAGGTGAAACAAACAACTGAAAGTTTAAGTGGCTGAAGAACGACGATTAAGAAAATATTTAAACAGGCAGCCGAGAGATAAACCGCAAAAAGCAGATTCTGTCGTGTAAGTGTTTGCCACTTAAAATGTAACCACTGAGAAAATATCAAGAGTAGTAAACGTAGTCAAATAACAATAAAATTTAGGTAAATGGGCTTCAGAAAAAAAGAGAACAAAATCTGAAGATTATCAAAATGCAAAGTTGGGATCCCCGTAGAATGGATCACGAGTCACGAAAAGCTTTTCAAAGAGCCATCAGGCAGTGAAACATTTTTGATACGATGTTGTTCAAATGGTACTCGATTACGCAAATACAGTAAAATAAAGATTTACGGTGATGTAGCTATGTGAAAAGACATAAACAATGTCTGATCTGTACTACATCACAGTTGAATTTGAGTTTGCATCTGCATGTGAAGCTGGAGGAGATATAACAGGGAACCTCAAGCCTTCATTACTGTGTGTATCGCTAGATCCTTGTCTGCTCTTTAAACTTGCTGGATTTAAATTTGATAAGACGGAACTACCACAGTTGGAGGTGATCAAATTTGCATGGATAATAGTACCGGCTGGTGATGATGAACCAACAGGACCAAAAGTAGTAAAATCAAAACAATTGGATTTGTCATCATTAGTGTTTATCATTCCAAATTGCGAACAACTATTTGCATTAGGTTTCGCGAATACTGAGTGAGAGTTGGTATTACTAGTTGTGTTATCACATATTTGACCATTAAAATTCAAACGGTGAGATTTAGACGACAAACCTTCATGATGATTTAAATTCATGCCAGCTGTTTGAATCACTTCTGTGGAATAAGCATCAGGAACAACTCGAGGACTGAATGATGAACCAACAGCTGTTGAAGCTATAGTCATGGAATCAGCCGATGAATTCTCAGATACCTCCAGAGACGGTAACGATGATGTGACATTAATAGAATGAGAATAATGAAAAATATTGGAAGTGATGTCATTCTGCAAAATACCGGGAGGTGGAACAAAAAGGGGTGGGGGAGAAGAAGCTGGGGCTGAGCTTCCGACAGGCAGTGCTCTGGCACCGCACAGAGGCATGGAGCTTGTTGGTAAAACTCTGTTTAGGATCGGATTATCATACGAAGAATATCCTCCATTTAAACACTCAACACCTAAGTTTTCGAAATGATTGGGAAAGCCAGATGAATCGAACAGAATGTTCGAATTCGGTAGTTTGTCAGGGCGAAAATGCATTCTACTATTCAATTGACAGTTACCGTCTGAACTGGTATGATAACCTAGTCCTGTATTTGTGAGAGATGATGAAGAAATGCCCCCGTTGGAAAGAGGACAATGACTGAAATAATCCAAATTACTAGGGTTAACAGTATTAGTTAAATCAGCTATTCCGTGGATATTTCTGTCTGTAAAGGAAAAGTGGGAGGGTGAGAACGGTTTTGTTTTCGTACACGAATCAGAAAAAAATATGTTCGACTTTTGACTCGATAAGTTATTCATTGAAGCTGACGCCTCATAAGCAGTCATGGAGTAAGACTGATTAAAAGAGTTCAGCCTGTTTGATAAGGGGAGATTGGAAACGCTTAGATCCAGATGATTACGTTCATCATTTTGATTTTTACTGTAATTTGTATACAGCTGTGAGGTATCCAGAACGGAGTATGAGTTGATTGTACAATCTTCATTCGAAGTATCTTCAACGGTTACTCTGCAATTTGGAGGCTTTGCACAGTTCGACGCTGACGCAGTCATCCTGCTCACGTATTCACAAAAATTCGGAGTAAGGCAGTTCAATCTCTTGTTTAATTCTACGATTTGATATTCTTTCTTTGTTAATGTAGCTGAATTTAAAAGTATGAAAAGTAGTTAATAAGTGACATGACACAAAAACAAAACTTATTAATACACAAAATCAAAAAAGATTAGAAAAGTATGAATTTGTTAACTTGAAATATTACAGGTCCCAGTAGTTAAATGGACCAAAAAGAGACAACCTAAATTTCCACACACACAGTTCATGATACTGTATCATATTTCAGTCTGATCACTGTTCACCTCCGTCCCATCTAAATCGAATTGCTACATTTGGATCCATTCCAAACTCTGTAACGTACAGACTCAGAATTAATCAAGTGGAGGATGAGAAATACCACCAGTCTTTCCATATATGGTGAACACCAAATACATGAACAAGAAAATGTAACACAAAGACTGTTAGGAAGTATTATTTACAGAAAAAAAGGCAAAATAAGGACAGCCTTTCAAATGCGATGTCAGTAAATTTCAAATACGGCAATTTCTTCATGCAGTTAAGAAATGCTTAACTCGAAAAGCACAACTCGAACGAAAGAAACGCATTAAAACTAAACCAAGGAACAGGATAGTTTTGATTACAACCGTGAACAAATGAGAGATGAAAATGTGCTTTAGCCTGTACATATATGCTAATAAGCGTTTTAAGCGTTCTAAAACACTGAAATCGTTGGACAAACTGACTGGTGCGGTCTCCATACTTACAGAGCAAAATATTTAGCTTAAGTACTTCAAAATAGTGATCGAAAAGAGAAAACAGTAGGATCAAGGGTGACACTTAGTTAAAATGAGTGTGATTCCCTTAATACATCTATTTCCACATGAAATCAAAGTGTGAAAAGACTTAAAATCTATGGTGAAAGATGCATTTTCCACTCACAAAAAGCACTTAGACCAGAGAGTGCACTTGATCAACAACAACTAAACGCTAAACCTGAAATTCAGTTACTTCTGAGGAATTTTGTACATATCAGACCGTTTTGATATCTTAGCTTGTAGAATAAGCATTATCCACTCATTAAGAATAACTAAACAAATGCGCATCACATGGAAAATTTTTACAGACTTATTGATCTCTAGATAATAACTACTTTTGTTCAGTACTTGATCATAAATGAATGCTATTTACTATGTTTGGAGCATGCTATCAAGCTAAAAAATCCTGCAACTAGAATGAACCACAATTGTTTTTAAAAGCAGTTAAAAACAATTTGCTTTTACTCTCTAACATCAATTAATGCAGTGCCAAGTGAAAAACACCCCCTACAACAGTTCAAAAATACATTTCTGAATGTTATGATAAACAAAGTTATCAAATACGCCATTCATTTTATCTAATTTTGCAAAACTGTGCCATAAGATCCAAACACTTAGAGCTAAATTGATCAGTTGATGAATATTGACTGACAAGACTATGAAATACAAGCCACTGAATTGAAACAAATAAATAAACTGTGAAAAATACATGAAACCCTTGAACTAACCATTTAATTCTGTTATCTCTTTCAAGGAAGAATGGTAAGCTGTCATAAGCTCTTGTTTCATTTTATCTTCCTCTTTGAGTGTGTCTGAAAGACGCTGATTTTCTTCTTGCAAGGCGTTTACACGAGAAGCAAGATCATTTAATTCAGTCTCTGTTATTTCATGTTTTTGATGCCGTGTACTTAAGTTGTACTGTTGATCTAAAGACACAGAATCGGATTGTTTCGTTCGTTCACATTTGCTTTGCTTTTTAGATGACTTATCCGATGATTCGTTCAATTCATTAGATAAACGTTCTGAATTTAATGATGAAAGTTGATTGTCTTTATCAGTTAGTGACTTTGTAAGAGTTTCTATTTCTAATTCTAATTCATGTCGGCGTGCTGCGCATGCTTCATTATTTTTACAAACTTCAGCAACAGTACCATCACAAGCGACAAACGAACTGCTTCGTACTTCAGTCATTGAAGCTCTGAAAAAATATTCGAAAACAACAACAATTAATTTAAACTAAAATATCGAACTATCTAAGTATACTTTTCTAATTCAGAAACATACTGTAATAATCAGCAGGTAAATCAAGGACCGATGATTTAAATCAAGGAGGAAGGTAAACTATGGCAGCCGGCATATATGTTGACAGTAACTTTTACCCATGGTTCGTTTTCTAGCATTAGAATTAGGAATTAGTTTAGGGATAGCTTCAGGTATAGGATCAGAGGTTACAGTAAACACAGAATTGTCCCACTAAGCAGTCTAGACAATTAAATTTACAATTTATCAACAAGGTCAGAGATTTTGTAGTCTTTTATTCAGACAGATTACCCAAAGTCATTAGGTGGATGCAATAGTTTATCTTAGCCAAATGACTGTATGCAGCTAACAAGAACCAATGAAATACTAATGACACTGTCAATGTTTTCTTCTCGCGTTGTTCAAATCAAGCAAGTTTGAAAGCGGAGTCTCAAAGCTGTTACTTAGTGTTCCACCAACTGTCTGTCTGTTTTCGACATAGAACTTTGCACATATGTGCACCAGTTCAAGTCGCTACACTCCATGTAGCACACAAACCAACAGAAGAAAGTAGAAGAAATGCATAATAGAGACAGTAAACAGAGGTGTGAGACAAAGGAAGAGTAATAACGAAGAACAAAACAGTTTCATTGGAAATCATAAGTCACCAGGAGTGGATGAATCTGCACCAGCCATTGAGAACGATTTGAGCCATGTCACCAATAGTTTCCAACCATTGGTTTTTACCGTCCCGATGACCTCAACCAGGAAGTGTACACCTTCCCACCAACTGGTTTTTATGATATGAAAGCTATAAGCTACAGATTGCTGTTCACATATGTCAGATGGAAAGGATGGCTACGATTCGGTTACTAGCAGTGGTCACCACCAATAGGCAACTTATTCAAAGCTGTTTTTCTACACAACTGAACTTACTTAGAATTTGTGGCTTTAGAAGTAACGGGGCCGTTAGATACAGTTTCTGAAGTCTTCTCTCCTGTCCGTTTTTTACTTTGCCGTTTCAACTGTTCTTCTAAAAGTAACCGTTGTTTACGCTCTTCAGCAAGACTTTTCTCCATTGCTTGTAAACTTGCATGATCCGTCTGTATGTAAGAGTTTAAAAACACGAATAGACAATTGAGTTAAGTAAATCAATTAAACCGTATTAGCTTAAAAAAGAAATATGACCAACACCGTAAGGTGTTTCAACTAGCCTGTAATTTATTTAACAGATAATATTATTCAAATACAAGAATTAGTTCTTCACACAGAAAGTTCTGGTTAGTTAAGTGAAGGATAGCAAATTCTTGTTAGGTTGATTTCCCTATGGTAACGTCCAATAAAAAAGGTTCCATAATATTGATAATATTGGATTAGTTTCTGAGAGATCCCATTTCAATAAGTTACAACAAAACTGAATATTAATTAGATGTGTTGTTCGAACCCATAGTAATTCTAACACCAAATCAGCCAAAACAGGGTGAAAGTTAACATACATCGAAAGCTAAACACGTTTGTTTATGTGAGATTTATTTTCAGTTTCCGGGGTTTTCCCTGACGAATAAAATAGCCTACACATAAGTCGATATTTAGAAAAAAATACATGGACAACGGGTTCATTAAACAGACACATTCGAAATTACACAAAACCACTAATATATCTTTAAGCCTTTTTAAAAGTACACATCACTTGATAACTGGACAGTATCAGTCACTTGCAATAGCTTTCCTGATATTCAGTTAAATGCTTACCAGAGGTTTGAATAATTGCGACGTTTATATATCATTTTCGCCAAAAAGACATTGACAACCATACAGATAAAACCCCTCGAACTTTACGAAGTCTGTTTAAAGTAGGCTTATAGATAAATCAGTTTCAGTAGATTTTATGACGAACCATTTGACTGAGATTTTGTTTTTACTCAATTATTCAGGAAGAATTTGTAATACTTATAAATATAATCAGTTAGAGAGACAATACAATTAGGCTAGTGGGATGATTTTTGACTGAAATTTGTGCAAAATCTCATGTCATTATGAGAAAGATTTATAATTTAAAGATGGAATCATACAGAGGTTCATATTGTCTATCTCGACGAGTCAAAAAGCATATGGAGTAGATCGAAATCATTCATCGTCTTACTGAAGTGACTAGAAGAGTTGTTTAATATTAGTCTGGGACTCTTAAGAAGTAGGCTATCACACCCTTCCCCACTGGGGATCGAACACAGGACCTTCCCATTACCAAGACATACAGAATCCTAAAGAAGTCGATTTTCAGTGAAACATTTAAATGCATGCACTCCGTGATTAGGCCAGAATAATCAGTTTATAAGATGGATGCCTATATATATTACAACAACAGCTGAATTAGTTATGTCACAATATTTTCTACCATATGAATAAAAAACAAAATCGGAAAAAGTGTTTAATTTTATGCTCTAACAAATTAAAAAAGCAGTTGGTTAATAAAGATGAAAGAACAAAACAGCCTACTTATCAACCGATAAAGACAAGACCTTTACACGATGAAAGTGTAACAGCTACTGTTCTCGCATAAGGAGGTGAGAGCAGAAAATTTGCAAGCACGGAAACTTTGCACACCCACATACTGGATAAAAAGCAGGAAAAATTTGCCCACAACAAGAGATTTAATGTAAAACATTTCTGACAGAATAAAATAGGTGTTTAGCTTGAAAATCAATAATCCATTACTAAGAGAAACGAAATTATGCATAAATCATTAAAAAAAACGTGAGAAAACGGCTAAGTATCGTTTAAATCTGTGTGAAATATGAAGGTAATCTGATTTAATTGCTTGAGTACATTTTCAGATTAGAATAAAAAATTTAAAAATTTGAGGTGTGTATATTATATGGCTTAGCAAACAAAAGCAGGTCAACAACTAAGACTAGTAGGAAAAACTATGATATTAAATTTTAATCGTATATTGTGAGATATTTAGTAAACAAACAACAAATGGACGAAAATGAAGACTACGAAAACAGTCTGTTTTAAACAGTACATATCAGTTTCAAAATGACCTACATAGATAAATAAAAACCAAATCCAGATATTGTAGAGAGCATCGGACTTGTGATTTGCATACCACTGATTGCAGTAAAGCTGACGCAGAATTTGTAACTCAATTACAGACTAACGAATTCAGTTGCTGTGTGATGACTGCAGGTGCATGCATGCGGGTCGCTCATATCTTGCAAGATAGGTGTCTGAATTCATCGTTCACACACCTACAATTGAGCAGTTGAAATACTGAAGCACTCTAACCTGTCCTGTCTCAGAAAATAAACGTACTTCAAGACACAAATTTTCGTGGAATCAGGCAAAGCTATTTGGACAATGAAGATGTTTATGTTTTTTGATTGAATTTAATGTACGAGACATTGGTTATTTTCTGTCTCACAAAGTCTTGAAGTATCGCAAAATATACTTTGATTATGCCTAGTACTCAAACTATGCATTGACAGTGCTTCTTCGTCTCATTAAGTAGTTTAGAAAATGTCACTAAGCCTGATGATGCGACACCCTCGACTATATGTCACAAAAAGCGGACTAGTTTGATATAAATGTTTCGATGACTCACCAAATAGAATTTCACTGTCTGAGAGAGACCCGACAGACCAAAAGACTATCTAGTAATTTATTATGCGCCTACTGATGGAACTGCTATGTCTTCAGCATACAGCAAATTAATCGAAAATTTTAAATAAATGAATAAAATACAACAACAGAGTAACAACTCTTGCTTATCCATCTTGATTAGATTAGTTAATTTATACAGTTGAAATATTAATGAGAATGGTTCATTTTACAGAATAAGGGTAGATAAAATACTTACTTCATAGCGTTGACTTAGTTGGTTGTACTTGACCTGTAGACTTTCATATTCCTGTTGAGCTTGAAAACTCTCTGATCGATATGTTCGTTCAATAGAAAGGGACTGTTGAACCTGGCTGCGTAACTGAACTTCTGAACTACGTAAAGATTGGATTTCTGATTTCAATTGCTTAGACTCAGCTTCTAGCCTGCAATTCAATCCACAATAAAGCAAACGGTGAGTACGTCATACATACCTGCTGAACAGATGTTACAAATACAAGTAACAGTATCTTAATAATGACATATATCTGTAGAAGTAAGCGAATGACTCTATTCGGTCGGTATATTAAAGCTTATCAAAATGTGATATAAACAGTGGCGAAATGTTGACTAGCCACAATGCATAAAACCACTGGATCCATGACTTGGAAATAAAGTAGCAGCTATATATAAGGCATGTATGTATAACACGAGTCTGGAAAAGTGTAGTGCGATTTCATTACGAAATTAAAAGCAACGACTAAACATGCTGGCCACCATCTTTAAAATGGGACAGAAAGTAAAATCAAAGAAAGATACTGGATTACTATCCAAATATCTAATAAATGGTATGGAAATTAGACGTCAACTTCAATACCAATACCTGTTCACTCTTAACTTCGTCATTTATCAACCGTCAATCTATTGTTTCCAATTAAAACCCTTGATATATATTTTTTCATATAATACACTTGAGAAACGTTTCAAAAACGAATATATCTTTTGTGATATGTGATGTTACACTTTACACAGTTGAACAGTGTATCCACAAACTATAACAAACACACAGATTGGCTAAAAAAAATACCGTATATGGTCAAACTTTGAGAAATCTGAGTTGAAATGTATTGGCTGATTATCACTTCTGATAACCATAAAAGTAAGGCAGAAACCGACAGAGATAATTATGAATGTGTTTTTATTCAAATACTGACATCTCAAATGGGAGAAGCAAATATAAGAAAACGAGGTAATGGGGTGAAGAGCAATTGTGGGATTAGAAATGTATACGCATATATATCATGTACAATGTGTCGCTGCAATTCTCAAGATTTGTTGGCTAGAGTCACAGAAACCATCTTCACTGAAGATTTCTCAATTCTGCTTAGATTTAATGAAAATCGTATATGTAGTCACTTTTCACCTACCCAGGTAAAATTACAATAATTCATTTTCCCGAATCACATTTGACTATTGTTTAAAGACGTATCTTCTAGATGTAAAAGTGATTCCCAACGCAAAACTAAGCGAAGCGTTAGAAGTGCAAACAGAAGCATGATAAAACTTCCTACTATCATCGATGTGCCATCCTACTCGGCATAAATTGTTGTCCTTGCTCTGTTCAAATTCCTTATTGTGGTGGACTGGATCTTACTTCAGACCATGAGGAATGTGAAGACGGAAATACGTTGGACTAACAAGAAGACTCTAGGAGACTTGCATTTTGCGGACAAACTCGAAGATCTGCAGACAGATAACTGACAAGTTATCAGAAGAGGCAACGAAGAAGAGAAGAAAAAGATGAAGAAGCCTAACGAACAACAAAAAGCGTCAGTCGCCATCAAGGGCGAAAATCTGAAAGAGGTCACCTCCCTTACTTATCTAAGCAGCTTTTTTTCAACTACACACACAGCACAGATTAGGATGTCAAAACCAAGAACAAAAAGCGAGACAAGCATTTACGACTCTGAAATCAGTTTGGAAATCTACTGTGCCAAGCATAAAGAACGAGTCGAATTTTAAACAATAATGTCACACTTCAGTTCTTCTATACAGTTCACACACTTGGTGTGCCACGTAAGGCATTCCCAACAGCCCATAGATTTTCATCAACAGGTATCCTCGCTCCATATTTAAGATTTGGCGGCCAGCGACAAGGAACCAATCAACAACCTATTGACACAACAAACATCGAGAATGAAATGCAGATGGCACACGTTGAAGACATCAAGCGTCAGGTCCTCAACTGGGAAACGACGAATTGGGCGTCCGAGGCTGACAAAAGGGAGATCGTGAGGAGAGGAAAGCTTATGGGCAGTCATTGAGCCAACTAAAAAGGAGTGCAGAGGATACAGTGAAACTTTAATGCGCTGTTGAAGCCCTATGTTCCACTCGTAACACAAGGCAATAAGAAGTAACGCTAGCACCTTACACTTACAATATAAAGACATTATCTTGCAAAATAAAGAAAACCTTACTTTAAAGTATATTCATCCTTGTTAGAATTTTTACCACTATTTTTACAGCCAGATGATGACGATGGATTTGAAGCTGACGCATTAGGTTTCCCACCACCACTACCATTACCACCGCCAGCGGCTCCAGAAACAGCAGTAGAACTCATATCAGTACCGGAATTTGTTTTTGCTGTTTGTTTTACACCACTAGACTTAGTGTTTGTTGATTTAGTTTTATTACTAGTTGAATTATTTACACCACTCGAAGACTTAGGCATAGATGAATTAGAACATGTTGAAGCTGATGAACTGGATGTAACAGATTTAACTGAGGATGGTGACTTTTTACTGGTCAATTTTTCTTCTTTACCGACACTTTCTTTTTGGATACAGCTCTCTTGATGAATATCATCAGAAGAAAGTTTCACGTCAGTATTTTCAGCAGATGCCAGGATTTTTGTATAAGAATCAGACTACAACATAAAACACAAAACGTTTCGATGGACAGAATTAAATCTGTATGAAAAAAAAACAATTTTAAGCCGTGGAAGACAAAGTGAAAATCAATATCCACGCACGCAACAGGTGTTGCAAAAGCAACAATAACAACTCAATATCTTCAGTTAACAGTAGGGAAAACAACTCATGAGCATAATTTAAACAATTACCAATGAGTAACACGCTTAAACATAAACCATAGACAATGTGACGTTTGAAAATGTCAGGCATAACTTAAAGTTATGTCTGATGCCACTCTCTAAATGCTACTGAGTTAAAACACTAGGAAAATGTCTATCACGTGAGAGTCTGTCTGTCTGTCTGTTTTCGACATAGAACTTTGCACAAATGTGCGGAAGTTCAAGTCGCCACATTCCGTGTAGCACGCGAAGCAAGAGAAGAAAGTACAAGAAAAGCATAATAGAAACAGTGAGCAGAGGTGTGAGACAAAGGAGTAATAAAGAAATACAAAACAGTTTCATTGAAGATCATAAGTCACAGGGAGTGGATGCATCTGCGCCACTGAGAACGATTTTGAGCCATGTCACCAATTGTTTCCAACCATAGATTTTTACCGTCCCGAGGACCCCAGCCTGGAAGTCTACACCTTCCTACGTGGCTTAGACCAACTGTTGTGGATTTCATTGACTGATGCCAAGTTTTTGTTTGACCGCCGCTAGCTTTTTTCCAGCCTGACCCTATATCCGCTAACATAGCTCGTCGAGGGAGGCGATGGCTTGGCATACGTAACACATGTCCTAACCATCTCAGTCGATGTAGCTTCACGACTTCGTCGATTGATTTCCCCTGTTTACCTAGAACTCTACGCCTAACCTCCATGTTGCTCACCTTATTATGCCACTTTACACGGGAAATAGAACGCAGGCACCTATGATCAAAGACAGCTAGTCTTTTCATGTCTTCCACTCTCAGTGGCCAGGTCTCACAACCATAAAGGAGGACGGAGCGGACTGATGAGCAGTACACCCGCCCTTTGGTCGATAGTCGAACATCTCGTCTACGCCAGAGTCGGCGTAAACTAACAAATGCGAAACGAGCCCCTTGTATTCGTGCTGAGATTTCGTCAGAGATCAACCCGTTGGGGCTGATGGTACTTCCCAAATAAGTGAAGCGGTCAACGTGCTCTACCACTTCACTTCCTATTTTTAAACTAGGCGTCGATGTAGTCCAGTCCTGTAACATCATCTTGCATTTGGCGGGAGCGAATCGCATGCCAAACATTCGTAGATTGCACCTCAAGGTGTTTAGAAGACTCTGCATTTCGTCAGCGTCTTCGCCTAGAAGGACTATATCGTCTGCATATTCCAAGTCAACGAGATTATTCCCAGGTAGCAAGTCAATCCCTGAATCGCTGAAGTCACCTAGGGTTAAGTCCATTAACACATCTATGATGAAGTTGAATAGAAAAGGAGATAATGGGCATCCTTGACGGACACCACTGGTCGTCATCAGTTCAGATGACAGCTCGCCGTAAGCCCTCACCTGGCTGTATGAGTACGAGTAGAGTGCCTTAATCAGTGCAATATATTTTCTCGGAATTCCCTTTACAGCCAAGCATCTCCAGAGAACTTCTCGATCGACAGAGTCGAATGCTGCCTTTAGGTCAAGAAATATAATGACTGTTGGACGCCGGTAGGAATTCCTATGTTCTAGAATCTGTCGGAGGGTGAAGATATGATCAATACACCCTCTTCCTGGTCTAAAGCCTGCCTGGCTCTCTCGTGTTTGTGCTTCCCGAGCACCACTCAGTCTACGCATGATTATTGAGCCTAAGACTTTAGATACTATATTAGTCAAGCTAATCCCTCTGTGATTATCACAGGAAGACTTGTCTCCCTTCTTGTATATGGGGATAATCAGTGACTTACACCAACCCGATGGGACTTCTTCTGATTCCCAAACGCTGCCTAGTACCTCAGTTAATCCGGACAGTAAGCTGTCTCCACCGTACTTAAATACCTCTGGCGTCATTCCATCAGGTCCCGCTGCTTTGCCTAGTTTCAGATTGGTGACAGCTTTAGTAACCTCAGTTAGTGACGGAGGACCTGTGTCTATATCCCATTCAGGGAGGTGTTGGATGCTCGGAAGGTTGAGCGTGGCTGTGGGCAAATTAAACTGCTCCTCATAATGCTCTTTCCAACGATCCAGTCGTCTATCCTGTGAGCTAATTATAGTGCCATTTTTTTCCGAGATTGTCTCACTAATGATTTGTCTTCTCCCACCCGTTTCCCTGATGAGTCCAAAGAGTTGCCTGGTGTTGCCTATCCTCAAAGCTTTCTCCATCTCTTTGGCTTTTGTCGCCCACCACTGTTCACGGTCCTTGCGGAGACTTTTCGTAAGTTTCCTCTTGTGCAGCTTTCGCTCCTCATTGAATTCGGAGCTCGCCGGAATAAGTCTTCTAGCATCTATCAGTTCGGATGAGGCGGTGGAGATCCAGTGGTTTTTACTCACCTTTGGGTTTACCTTATTCACAGCTTTTACAGCTGTATCTATGGCTGCCTGGATATTTTTCCAAGCTTCTTCAGGGTGAGCACAGCTGTCGAACACAGATATGTGTTTAGCTAGTTCTTCCTGAAATACGGATTTAGTTTCCTGATCGAGCTGGGGACGTGATGGTTTTACCGCCAGCTGTTTCCTACGTCCGTTCAGTCGTAAGCACACCCGAGCGCGGACCAGTGCGTGGTCGGTATCACGTGAGAGTACCAGATTACGCTTTACTACTACCTGGTTTGATTAGAGAAACAAATGATAGAGAAGTTATCCCGCAGCAATCGGGATACATGAAAACGATAGTAGCTAATAGGGTAACATTAAATATCCAGTTATCTGTTTAGTTTATTTGCGGTCCCGTCACCTAGGAAATCCTATTGAACATTCCAAATAAGACTATTATTTCTTTAGACTTTACTGCTATAAAGCCACAAGTATAACCATATAATAGCCAGTAAAGGACAAATAAATATTATATCAAAATGGTGTCATGATAGATGGAGACCAATGAACCGGAATGAAGTCATGGAATATCAAATAATTGATGGAGATGGAGATTATAGCTGAATAAGGAATATGCATCCATTTCGAAATATAGGATATTATGATCGTCAGGTGTGAGTACGCGACTTGACACTACACAAAGGCAAAACTCTACGAGATTTACAATGAGTGGAATTGAAGAATACAAAACAGAATTAAATGGAATCAAGCAGCTTACTAGTTGTCGTCAATACGTTGTAATAATAGTGTATACATGAAAGAAACAGACACCAAAGGATCTGACATTTAATAAGGAATATGAATAAAATAGATGTGAAATAATGCGTCCATCATATAGAGGAGGAGTCCTACAGTAACTTTGTGTCTTCAAGCACAGATTGTATTCTTTATCCGCTTTTCTGTTTATAATCTCCGCTAAGAAAGTGATATTTACGAAATCAACATGGTAAGTGTCTTAAAAGAGGATAGAAGAATAACAATATTCCTTATCTATTACAAGACAGATTATTGACCTATTGTGGATTACATTACCAATAAAAATGTTTACGAAGTGGTTATTTAAGACAACTACTTTTCGGATTACTTGAATGATTGCCATTATTTGCAGTCTTGACCTATCTGCACCATTTTCAATTACCTGAGTTGCTCCGAAACAAGTGTTTTATCAAATATAATCATTTCGAAGTACTTCGAGTAACTTTGTTAGTCAGTCCCAACAGAGGCTTTCGTGAGGGCTTGTTCAGAGGTAACACTAGCATCTTAACCATGTCACGTTATGATTATATCTAATATTACGAGTAAATATTAAATCCAAGCGGACTCAAGGACTATGATTCAGCCCCCAAAGTATGTACGAAAGTTAGGTATTGTCATAAATTAGCTTAGACACAACAAGTGAGATTGTATACTGCTTGGAAAAGCTTCCTAATTCTAAAAAGAGATGCGAGTACTGAAGTGGTATAGTATACCTGAGCCGGAGAAACTCTGGTTTGTATGATCATGAGACATTATTTTGGGGATTAATTAGATTATCTATGGTAAGGTAAACACAAATGAAAAATTAGTTCAGTATGGTATTCATCAATAAATATCACTCTATCTTATAGGTAGGACATCATTTAACTGGGATTACACAAAGGATACACAGAACACTATAAAATGCTAAATACTTTTTCACAATTGACAAGATGTAAGTTTACAATCACCCAAGCATTCTAGCATCGGTGATTTAGATGTGCTACAAATGTCGTTCAACATAGTTACCCTTTGATAAGCCATCCAAATGACTTAAAGAAGAGTTAATGTGGTTAGCTCATGAAATGGGAAGGTAGGATACGATTTACGTTGGTTTACCATTTTTCAGCGTATCACAAATCATTGAATGAATACCAAGAAAACATGAGGCCAGGTAACTCGAAAAGTTATCAGAAGCGACCAGGAATTTCACGTTTTTCTTAAAGACGTCAGTGAGGGTGATTTCTGAAGCACTGAGAGCGGTGAAAATGGACAAAAAATGGGGGTTTTCAATATCCAGGATGAGGTTTGACTACAAATACATCAAGTGCAGTGTAATGTATCACAGATAAAGCGAACATGGTTGACCAGCAAACTTAACCTAAATTATTCAGAGCTATGAAATCTCATTGTAAAAAAATTTAAATTTACACTGCGTGTCTGCTTATTACTGGGCTGGTGCTTAAATCGCATTGTCTAAGTTGATCATCCACATAAAATGTGGACAACGTTTTCTTGATGAAGACATTTTCCTTTAACAACTCAATAAACCAAAAATGCTAGATTTCACTGAATATTTTATATTGCTACAAACTCCCCCTTTAGTCACTGCTTATTGAGTACACAGCTTGTATGGTCTTTTTCTCTTCTCGACAACACTTTTAAACTAAAATAAAGTGCAATAGATCTACCAGAAAAAAATGTTGCATCATGAAACATAAGAAACATACTTTTTCCGCCAATGCTGAAGCTCCAGACGTATAATTGTCATCTTGATCACCAACTTCATGTTGAAATGTACGCTCTTGAGAGATATTTTTACCAGTTGAGCATATAGCAACATCCGTACAGTTACTTCTATGGGCAGCTGATGAATTAGTAATACGTGTAGTGGTAGTAGTCGTAGTGACTGTTGTGCGGCTATGATGTACAGATATGTTTTTACGGTTTGTATTTGTAATACAATGATTATCTTTGTCCTTGGAATGAATTAGGCTAACAGTATTACTCGCCTCAGCCGCAATATGTCCTGTTGAAGTTGAATTTGGCACTGTGGATGTGGAAGAAGAGATGGCTAATGTCGGACAATTATTATTGTCACACAGCACATTTGGGTTTTTCGATTTAGAATTAGAATCTTAGGTGGATCAAATAAATATAAACATAGGTCAAGTCACCTTAGCAAAATAATACTAGAGAAGAAATGAACTTTTTTAAAAACAACCCATTTTGGCTGCCTATTTTGCATTTGTATTGTGAAGAAGAGACTGTCAACACGATGATACGGCTACAAAACCAATAACCAAAGATACTATTTCATGCAGTGTTAATTTTAGACTAAATTTCAAATGGAAAACAGTGGGATGGTCTTCAGAGATAAGCGAAACTAAATCATAACTCAAAGAGTGATGGGATCTGCTAGATCTACTAGACCTGCAGGTCTCTCAAACAAAAAAGGCTTTTAAATTCAAGAAACTAGCACAACAGTTTCCCAGTTGAGATATAACTTAAGTATTTAGTTAGCAAATCAGAAATCGCACTGGTTGCATTGCAAGTAATTATTTAATGCATTCCAGAATAATAACCACTTAAGCTTGAAAACTACTGCTGCGAGATATGAAACTCCACATAAAATAACATCATAGAATCTATAGATCACAGGTTATCATTATATCGGTCAGACTTTTGATGTAGTACCACAAAGAAGCACGATTATACAATTTTAAGCATGGAATAGCAGAAAGATGAATGATCATTAAGATAATCATACAAGAAAATCAGTTATAGTCTTGCCGTACAATATCACATCACGAAACAACGCTAACACGCTAATGTATGTTAAAAGCTACTTGGTCAGTCAATGGTCGAACATAAGTGAAAGATAAAAACAGTGAAAATTTACGCAGATGATTCATTTGAATAGTGCAGAATTCAGCTACAGTCGGTCAAATGAGAACGCAAAGAATCTACAGACAAATTTCACTAGATAAGTGAAACGTCAGTTACAGTGAATGGTCGTAGACAAAATTTTGTAAACTAAAATAAGTTCGCTGTCAGGGCGTTTTCTGTCAATTAGTTTCATTAAATAGTATAGAAATTTGAGGAGAAAGCTGACTTCATTCAGCGAAACTTTGTTAACAGCATTGCTGGATTTAAGCTGGAATTTTTCCCAAATACCTAGTAAAATTGAATACACAGATATCAAAATTAACTATCAGGAAAACACGTCAATGTCCATTTGTATATATGACCGAGTTTACTGATAACTCAAAGCATGAACCACCAATACGCATAGTGACTCCGTTTCTCGATTCCCTGATACACTTAGCTGACTTTTGATAAATACATAATTCCTTAAGGTTCCCTATGGAACAAAGGGCTTCAAAGCTAGAGGCTTGAAGTTTCAGAAGCAGTGGTGGTTACTTTTACGGGATGGGGTTGCTAGCCTCATGTCCAACCTTTTCTCTTTACCAGTCTTATTACTGGCTTAGCGAAGAAAAGGAGTGCGTCGGCCGGGGGTCCAATTCCGAATCTTCTGCGTGGTTGGCAAGCATTCTACCGCCGTGCCACCGACGTACTATATATATATATATATATATTACATAATGCTACCAGAGACATAAAAATGGTAGGATGTCTATGTGAAAAAAGGTATCTGTACGGCATAGAAATAAACAAACCTGATTTTAAATAGAACCACAATTCTTTTGGTAAAGCTCTTTCAAGTATTGAGAAAAAGGTCGTATTTTGTGCTTCAACCAATCTTTGTCTTTTCTGTATAGCAAGACATTTAAAAACAGAATTGTTAGTTAATATCTTGACTAAATGAAATAAATAAATCACAAAAACCAAGAAAAGTGCATATATCTAAATTGGAATTTCTCGACAGCACAGATATATAATTCTACATGACAAAACAAAGTATGTGCAGTCAAACAGCTCGTTAAAATCACTATACATAGTGAAGATACTGTTGTTCGTTTGTTTGTTTAGACGATCTACACTGATGGCCATCCACATAAAACCATTACTCAACAAACGATTAACACATTTGCAACTAAGCCATCATCAGAATGAGCCTAAATATATATATATATATATATATATATATATATATATATATATATAGGTTTTCCAATGAATTAATTTATTACAGTTGATTCAACTTGGCGCATAAGAATAAAGCGCTCAATGAGTTCAACGATTTCGCTCATTATTAAACTAGTAGTTGGTGTCAACTCAACCCACAATTAGTAGGGATAAAGCGTATGCCAAACAAATTCAGACTTTTTAGTTGGGTCGTTCAGAAGACATACGCTTCGCAAGTACTTTTAGGAGAAACCAAACATATTACTTGTGTATCTAAAAACAAGATCATCGATTAAGTATTAGACGTGACTCACAATTTAACACATAAAAAGGTTTTAATTCGTAACTGATTCAGACATTTCTGTTTTAGAAAACTTTATTTATAAAACCAGGATTTATAAACTGATGAGTCGGTCGGCGATTTCATACAGCTACCCGCCACCAGTTCGGAAGGAATACGAAGTCGTTCTACAACTAAATAAGAGAACGTTATGCACTAGAAATAGCGCCTAGACAAAGAACGTGTAAATATCAGTAACATAAGCAGTTGGAAAGTCCCTGTTGAATCTGTACTTCAGTATTACCTCGGCAAGGTCTCGATTTTACAGAATTTCACCAGAGTAAGAATATCATTGATTTTCTGGAGTTCATAAAATTCTGTCATAACAGTGTTTATTCTCATAGAAAAATACTGAACCAAGATGAAAATTTAAATTAGAAGAATACATTAAAGGTTTAAGCAATTTTTTTTAATTAAGCATTGCAAAATAAGAATTACGGAATATTATGACTACTTCAACTCAGTTGAAGTTCGGACCAGTTTGCCGAGCGAAACGTTGGAACTAATCATTTTAATATCGTCAAGATTTTACAAATATAATTTTTACAAATGAAGAAATAAAGATTCCGTGTAAACCAACACTGAAGGAGTTCAGATCACATGGTTGTGTGACCAAAAGATATGTTAAAACTCTTGCAGTTGACATTTTAATCCTACCGTTGAAGATAAACCTGTGAAATAAAATTATACCATAGCATGATGGCCCAGGTGTTGGTCGTTTTTCACTGAACTTTATAGAAGGAATACGCGTGACGTTATCCAATTGATACAGACACTCCTGGACAAAGAAGTAATAGTCTAGTGGTATTCAACATATGATTAAATGCAAATATCACGAACGTAGATACTATAAAATTCAAAATCCGAGTAGAATTTATGAAAAAGTACAATGAAATGCAAAAGTTAAAGTGAGATGAAAATAAGTAAACACCTACCAGACGGAAATGATGCGAAATCATACTTTTCAAACTGAAACCCAAAGTTACAACCGGATAGCCGATACTAACGATGAGAAATAAAAAAAGGGAAAAAGCAGGTCAAAACCGAGAAACGAGTTGACAAAGTTACTTCACAAAATACATCAAAGTTCATAGTATACTATTACTGTTAGTTATGCGAAAGAAACAGGGTAATTGATGTCCTCTGATCATGACCAGATTCAACCGCTAAGTCATGAAACATATCTCTGTTGCAAAGTGAATACCTGAATCAACAGTCAAATTTTGCTAACGTGACGGAATTTAAAAGTATTATCGAATGGTTAGAGAGAAGCAGTAAACAAAACCGTACGTAGTTCTTATCAGAGGACAGCATTTCCTTTGCGGCAAGTCCAAAAATACCGGAATGGGTGAAATATTCACTGCTAGAAAGACTAACCACTGTTCGGTTGAATATACATTCTAAACTACGCATCATAATTAAGAGATGTCTTCTTTTATACACCTGTATAAAAATCTAGGTACTATGAAATCAAAATATCAGTCTATAAAATAAATTGGCTAACATCTGCAGCTCACGCTTATAAAAGAGTAATTGGATTAAGTTTTAAAAGAGAATATCACCTTACATTACACATGAAAATAGCCACTGGTCATATGTGAGATGAATTCATGATGCTACTAGAGAGAAGTGTAGAGAATCATATAGGAATTATGAACGGTTTTTTCGACACAGATTATTCAAGTGAAGTACACCGTTAGCATTGCATACCATTCATAGTTCGCAATTCTTACAGTAAAGGAAACAACAGTGAATAAAAGCGACCCTGTAAGTAATCTTTGATCTTTAACTTTACTGTCATTTTTTATGTGAATTATGAGAATTCAGATCAGTGAAACAGACCAAATAGCGTCTTTAAAACCAGAGAATACATGTGAGAGATAACAAACTCTATGAGATTCGACTTTGATCAAGTTTCAGATTAGTTCAGATTTCACTCTAACAACTAAGATTGAAGATGAATAGTACTATTAGTCTTTAAACAGTAAATGTGGTATACACACTAGTGTATCAGTCCGCTTACACTAATTTTTAGTGCGAAAAGTATAAACATGAGTATTATTGATGATAATTCTATGTATGATATGAAAAAATGGTTAGTAATAAATATAATGATCACGTAAGTGATCATCATAAGTCTTAACTGTTTGTGGAAGTATTTTAAATCCAACAAAGCAGCAAGCTCAAGAGATAATCACAAAAACACATAATACGATGAACTGATGAATGAAGCAGATTTTTGGGTTTAAGTAGTTAGAAATTTAAACTGGATTGTTCTAAGTAGCTTCATTTGATACCTTTAGTCAATAATATTTATTACGTTTGGGCGCTACTCATTATTCCAAGTAAATACTCAAAAACCTAACAAGTCTATTCGCTAAACTCTCAGCCTCATAGTGTATTTAGTGTTTACAATGGATTTTGAAAGAAATTACTTTTAGTGTATAGGAAATAAAGATTTTTGCTAGCTGTAGCTTTCAGAAATTTTCTATAAATGGGGGCAGTTAACACACTGCTAATCGGCTATATTCACATCTTTGTGTACTTCCGGTAAAGTACATCTATCCAAGCTTATTTTGATTTGTCAAAATCTCGTAACTTGAATCACAAGGTTTTCTAGATGTCAGAAGAAAGTGACAGACAGCCCTAAAATCTACTCGATAGTATACCGTAAAATTCAGCATAGGAACTATTACTCAACTTAATGACTATGTTGTACACCTGATCATAGACTAGACAGTTACAATTATTCTTACTCAGCACTCAACAACTAATTCGCGATAAGCAGCTTGTGAAATGTGAAATCTAAAATCACCTAAAAGTGCTTCGAAGCATGAGTGTAAGAGATCTATAACTAAATTTATCATCTTAATCAGATAGTCACTCATGCACACCTACGACAGACAACAACAGCTACTGTGTTACGATCCAGTAAGTAATTCAAAAATATATTACTTGGTTTCATTTGTTTAGGAATTTCAGAAGGAACACGCTCAATAACCAAGTCTTACACCATTTAAACATAAGTGATGTCCATTATAATGAAGGTTTTTTTGCATTTCCCAATGAATGAAAAACATAACGATATTGTTTTTACTGACGTTTCGCTATTTAATGCTAATAGCTTTCTCAAAGTATTATTAAACCGTTATAAGTAATGTCCGTTCATTATTAAGAAGTCTAGCATGGAACCACATACCGAACTTCTGAAAATCACCCAGATCTACAAAATGTGTAAACTTTCAAATTGAAGTATGCGCCAAAGATGTTGCCTTAGAACAGCAATGAGAGCTTCGCAAAAAAAACTATCCAGATCAGAGAACACAACTACATCAAAAACTTACCAATGTGCTGCAAAGGGTCTGCAAAGATCTATACCAAATGGTAAGTTTTTCGGAACACGAATTCGCATAGCGAACTCGACATAGAAGAATATGAAGCACAGTACAACAGTTGGAATATACACACCACGGTCTAAAGAGGGAAAGACAAAGAAGCCCTTTACTACAAAAAACCACAACATACTAGTACTGATGTCTCTGTTAAAAACTAAATAAAACAAACATGGGACAACAGCTTAAGAGAAAGCTTAAATCTCTACTATGTTATTACAAATTACTTTACCAATTGCACATCCCGTCATCTGGTCCGTTACTCCTATATTTTCGCCATACACAAACTATTTTATTTTAATCATCTTTGGGTGCCTTAGTTTGAAATTTGTCTACCCGTAGCTTTTTAAGTTGCTAGGTATTTACCTTCAGAAGGCTGGCATCCCGTGCGGTATATAATACGGCTGTTATGACGCAGTGCTTCACATTCAGGCTTGCAACTTACAGCATTTTTACACTGATGTAAATCGGACAACTGGAAAGTCAGACCAGAATCTTAGAAATAGTTGCTGTTGATGACGGCTGTAACTTACAGCCTCAGGTATAAGAGCTAGTAAAATGCATCAAATGACTTCATCCTTTACAAGTCCGAATAGTATGTTTCATGTGCGCTGTAAAATCGACCTGCAGCTTAGCTGGTATCGGTGTTTTAGGCGTCCATATTGTTGTTTTACTATTTTTTTTGCCAATATTGTACCATGTTTGTTTCAAATAATATAAACAATAAAATAAACATCAGCTACCACATTTCTTATATCATTATTGCATTTCTACACAGAATCAGTAGTAATGCACAGTTTTATTTTGGAGTATATTTCCAAAGCGTATTTAATGCATACGTCATGTAAAACTGGGAATGACAATCACGATTACTTTATCATATTCTATATGGAACATATGTTAGTACTGAAGTGAAAACACCAATACAGCTTCAGAAGGTAGTTTATGTTAACATATACAACAGATGTGACTGAGTGGTTTAAATATATCCACCTTTGTTGGTAACCCAAATTATCAATCCGCTTAAGTGAGACAGAGTCATTACAAATCCAATTGGTTAAGTGACTTGATGCGTTTAGTCTCTACAGAGGAGGAAATCGCCTACATTTTAGCTTCAGTTTAATGAATTTAATTTTGCACGGAAATTGTCCCATCGTCGTAGATAAAATTAATTAACTCCTATGACCAGCTCTACGAAATGACTAATCCAACAAGGTGGAGCCTGAAAAAAGTTAAAGTCTAAGTTGCCACACTTCGGAAAACTACACAAAAACTGGAGAAAATAAATGCAATAAAACTACAATGAACGAAGGTGCAAAAGAGAAAGATTAAGTGGGGATTTCCAAAATGTGGACGATGGCAAAGAATGAATACATCTGCACCATAGTAAACAATTTTGAATCGTGTTACCGACAATCTAGAAACAGTGTTCTTGAAATTACGAAAACAACAGCCAGTCGATCTACACCACTTATATGATGCGAACCAACACACTTCATTAATTGGTATGTTTTTGATCGGCCAACGTTAACTCTCTTCCCAACTTATCCTAACTGTAGTTTATCTTGAGCTTCATTCAACAAGAAGCTTTCGTGCTAGAACTGTTTAAAACTAATCAATACAATAAAAGATACTGTATACTGTACCAGTAAACAATACTGTTTTACTGTGTGATACATCTAATAAACAAACTAATATGGAATTACTTACTACCACAGTGCCCAAGTTTTACACATATATTAACAATAAAAGATAAACATTAGGCTGAAAACAAGCCAGTTGTGAAAAGTAAAGTGATAAATGATAAAACGGCGCTCTTCACCGGGTTGACTGTCCATTGGATGACAGTCTAGGGGAGATGGCTAAACCCTGATTCCAAACCTCCAACGACTGGAGTATGAAGCTCACTGGAGCTCACCGGCAGACGTATGGACTAAGGGCTTATTGGATGTCCTGGATGTCTGGCCACATTCAAAAAGGCGTATGAACAGGACTCCGGTCACCGGCTACCAATGGATAGTGGACTCCCTACTCCACTCCTACTGCCTTGTAGGTCACACCTGGTTGTGTAAAGGTTAGAGCTGCACTCTCAAACAAAAGGCCGAGCGATCCTGGGGACATCACCCGTACCCAATTCCCATGAAACTTCATGAGTTCATGAAGCTGGCTCATCCTTCCGTAGGAGAAAGCCGAAGTAAAGTAAAGTAAGTTGTTGTGTTTTACATTAGTCATTGTATCTTTTATCGCCATCAAAACATGAACAGAAACTTACAAAAATGCTATAAACGTTATAAAGACAGGTATTTTTTCAGGGTTTATCAAAAGAAATGATGAGCTCAGCCTTAAAAGTGCAGTAATGTACAGTAAAAGCAATAATAAATAATGAGGAAATTGATTCTTCCATAGTTTAAAAAAGCTATGGTTATACAACACTATAACAACAATACGTAAATTACAAGTACTATGTGCATTTGTGAAGAAACGGCTCACCTGTTTGCCATGCGAGCTGTATCCATACACATGAGCTACCAAGCAGGTAGATAAGTGTAGTGGGTAATGAAAAGTAACACAGCAAATCAGCCATGATTGCACTGAGAGTAAAAAACAGAGCAAATGCCTAAAATATAAAAAAGTTTTATTACTAGTAGTTTGTGATTTTTAAGCAACGAGAGAAACAAAGCATATTTTAAAGCAGACTCAAAATAAACCCACAAATTTTATGATAACTAACAAAGCATTACTAGTCAGTTTATTTTTTGTTCTAGTGTAAATGCAGTATTGAACTGTGGGAATAGTATTCTGACTCTAGCAACAAATAGAAGGTTTAAGTAGATATGTAGTATTCTGTTGCTAATGCAGTATTCAACCGTGGGAATACGTGAGAATAATATTCCGTTGGAATACATTGGTCTGCAGCACATCACAGTAGGTTTTGTTAAAATATCTTCTTTTGCTTTATTTTGCATATTTTATTGGTAACATATCTAAATTAACAAGTGCTTCTTAGTGCCTATAGTGACCTGAAGACGTATTAACTCGCGTAAAAAGCGATGTAAACAATCTACGCTTCGCCATTAAGCACCCATAAATAAAAGACGTCTGTGAAATCCAAGAATACAGGACTCCGCAAGTTCATCATTGTATTGGAGTAGAATGGTCTGCAAATTAGTTATCCCGGTCGATAGCTACTATTTTCACGCGGTTGTAGGGTTGACCCGATGAGCTACAGTGACAGGTCTTGCCATATCAAAAGGTCGTTTGGATAGCCTGTTAGACTAAAAGCGGTGACCATCACAGTGTAAGTCACTCACACTATATTGATGATTTAAAGGCGAAGTCGTACTGCTGGTGGAAAGGACTACCAGTGAGCTAGTTATGCTGACTCTTCGCCAACCTCATGCCCAACCTTTCTTATTATTGTTTAGGCGGAGTAAAGGAGTGCGTCGACCGGGGATCGAATCCCGGACCATGTGTATGGTCGGCAAGCGCCCTAACTGCCGTACCACCGAAGTACATGAGACACACATGCGAGAGTAAAAAAATCCGCACTTAATTGGATTCCAGTAAACTGTAAAATATAGATTCATCCGAAGGAAATATTATGATGCCCGACGATGTCTTTCCGTAATCTCTACTTACGCCCTACCCCAATGCGGTTAGGGAGAAGTAAAGGATAAATTCTGTCAAAAATCTGTCTGTAGTATGCCAAAAACATTGTCATTTTAGCAGATGACTGTACTGTTCAGGTGTGGAATTTGTGCTGGTTAGAAAAGTATATCGGTTGCACCTATGGAGTCCTATTTTGACAGAACATTTATTTACTGTCTGTCAATCGCATAGAGCAACAAAGTAAAATTCTCCATAGGTAGTCCTTGATATTACAAAAAGATATTCGTTAATTCATGCTCTTGAGTTTCTGAATGCCCTTAATAATAGTATGCTAGAGTGTGAGGAAGCAGTGGAGACAGTGCTTCAAGTGAAAATAGAGAAGACGGTGATGAAGCTTACCGATAGACCAACAACAACAGCAAGTACTCATCACTATCAATGGAAGAAATCTGAGAGGCCACCTCCACTTATCTAGGCAGTATTGCTTCAACAGACGACAAGCACGAATGAGGATGTCAAAACTAGAATCGGAAAGGCGAGATACACCTTCATCACTCTGAAATCAGTATGGAACTCTGTTGCACTCAGAATAAAGAATATGATTCAAATTTTATCACCAATGATATGTCCGTTTTTGCATATGGGTTAGAAATTTGCACTATGTCACGAATGGCATTTCAAACAGTCAGATGGACTTTTATCAATAGCTACCTTCGCCCTACATAAAAGACCGAATGGCCAGAAGAATTAACAAAAAGAAACTCTAGGAACAAGTCAACCGAGAACCTTTTGGTCAACAAATATGGCAAAGAAAATGGAGATGGATCAGATACGCGCTGAGGAGACCACCGAATGACATCGAGTGGAATCTGTGTGAAACGACTAGTTGGGTGTCCGAGGGTGACATGAAGGAGATCACGTAAAGAGGTGAAAGCCCATGGGCAATCGTGGAGCCAGCCAAAGAGGGCTATAGAGAACAAAGTGGAGATGTGCTAGTGAAGACCTGTTCCAGTCGGTACCCAAGGGAATAGTAATAAAATAATGGTGTGAAAGGCGACCTAATTGCATATTTGCCTAAGTGAACAGAGTTTACGTTAGCATATGAAAGCATCAACAACAATATGTATCCGTAAAACGTACATCAACAAAGAATAATCAAACAGAAGATTTTAAAGAATTGGATTGGGGAAGTGGTTAAACGCGTATCCGAAAATGACAGCAACACCCATCCTGAGGAAGCCTGGTAAGACAACCAGTCACTGACTGACTGGTTTCAATATACGACTTAGCACTGATGTGCAGCGATTCGAGTGGCCCAACTTTAATTAGCACACAAAGCAAGAGAAGATAGTGAAAAGGAATGCAAATTGGAGACAGTATACAGGGATATGAGGCAAAAAGAATAGTAATATCGAAGAACCATAAAGTTTTATCAAAAACTTTAGGTCACAAGAAGTGGTTGCATCTGCACCAGCCGTTGAGAACGATTTTGAGCCATATCAGCAATTGTCTCCAGCCATTGGTTTTCACCGTCCCGAGGACCCCAAACAGGAAGTTTGCAGCTTCCTACGTGGCGCCATGTTTTGGTTTGACCACTACTGACACTGACAGATGGCTACAGATGTGGTTGCTCATCACGCGTCTTCACCTAGAAGGACGGTATCATCCGCACTCTAAGTCGATAACACCCCAATCTGGTAACAAAACAATACCAACGTCACAAAAATTGGAGTCAATTTTATCTAGCTAATCAGTCATTCACTTAAACAGTGCCATAGGGAGCCATCAATCCTTACTTTTTTTTAGAACTGGATTGACCAATCAGTACTTTACTTCGCAAAGATATCTAAACTACTGAGGTTACCGAGGGATCTTCTATTTTCATTGTGGCATCAGTTTATGATGGAAATTATTTCCCTCCACACCAGTGCACTTAGTTCACTAACACGGTAATCGTTTTGATATAGATACTTTAAGCAAACTGCTACCTTCAGAAGGTATGAGTGCAGACAACTTCATCTTACATTATTCAGTAAACAGTACTGTCTGTTTTCGGCATAGAACCCTGCACCGATGTGCACCAGTTCAAGTCGCCACACTCCATGTAGCACACAAACCGAGAGAAGAAAGTACAAGAAAAGCATAATAGAGACAGTAAACAGAGGTGTGAGACAAAGGAAGAGTAATAACGAAGAACAAAACAGTTTCATTGGAAATCATAAGTCACCAGGAGTGGATGAATCTGCACCAGCCATTGAGAACGATTTTGAGCCATGTCACCAATTGTTTCCAACCATTGGTTTTTACCGTCCCGAGGACCCCAACCAGTCAGGAAGTCTACATCTGTCGTAGATTTCATTGACTGGTGCCACGTTTTTGTTTGACCTCCGCTAGCTCTTTTCCAGCCTGAACCTATATCAGTTAGCATTGCTCGTCGAGGAAGGCGATGACTAGGCATACGTAACAACACATGTCCTAACCATCTCAGTCGATGTAACTTCACAACCTCGTCGATTGATTTCCCCTCCTTACCTAGCACTCGACCGATGCCTAACCTAAATATTGCTCACCGTATTATACTACTTCACACGGGAAATAGAACGCAGGCACCTATGATCAAAGACAGTTAATCTTTTCATGTCTTCCACTCTCAATGGCCAGGTCTCACAACCAAAAAGGAGGACGGAGCGACTGATGAGCAGTACACCCGCCCTTTCGTCGATATCCGAATATCACGTTTACGCCAGAGACAGCGTAAACTGACATATGCGAAACTAGCCCTCTGTATCCGTACTGAGATTTCGTCAGAGATCAACCCGTTGGCATTGGCCGATGGTACTTCCCAAATAAGTGAAGCGGTCAACGTGCTCTACCACTTCACTTCCTATTTCTAATCTAGGAGTCAGTGTAGTCCAGTCCTGTAACATCATCTTACATTTGGCGGGAGCGAATTGCATGCCAAACATTCGTAGATTGCAGCTCAGTGTGTTTAGAAGACTCTGCATTTCGTCAGCGTCTTCGCCTAGAAGGACTATATCGTCTGCATATTCCAAGTCAACGAGATTATTCCCTGGTAGCAAGTCAATCCCTGATTCTCTGAAGTCACTTAGGGTTAAGTCCATTAACACATCTATGATGAAGTTGAATAGAAATGGGGATAATGGGCATCCTTGACGGACACCACTGGTCGTCACCAGTTCAGATGACAGCTCGCCGTAAGCCCTCACCTGGCTGCATGAGTTCGAGTAGAGTGCCTTGATCAGTGCAATGCATTTTCTCGGGATTCCCTTTACAGCCAAGCATCGCCAGAGAACCTCTCGGTCGACAGAATCGAATGCCGCCTTTAGGTCAAGAAATATAATGATCGTTGGACGCCGGTAGGAATTCCTATGTTCTAGAATCTGTCGGAGGGTGAAGATATGATCAATACACCCTCTTCCTGGTCTAAAGCCTGTCTGGCTAGTTCTCTCGTGTTTGTTCCTCCCGAGCACCACTTAGTCTACGCATGATTATTGAGCCTAAGACTTTAGATACTATATTAGTCAAGCTAATCCCTCTGTGATTATCACAGGAAGACTTGTCTCCCTTCTTGTATATGGGGATAATCAGTGACTTACACCAACCCGATGGGACTTCCTCTGATTCCCAGACGCTGCCTAGAACCTTAGTCAATGCAGACAGTAAACTGTCTCCACCGTACTTAAATATCTCTGGAGTCATTCCATCAGGTCCCGCTGCTTTACCTTGTTTGAGATTAGTGATGGCTTTTGTAACCTCAGTTAGGGACGGAGGACCTTGTCTATATCCCATTCAGGGAGGTGTTGGATGTAGGGCAGTTTGGGCGTGGCTGTGGGCCAATTAAACTGCTCCTCATAATGCTCTTTCCAACGATCCAGTCATCTATCCTGGGAGCTAATTATGGTACCATTTTTCTCCGAGATTGTTTCACTTATCATTTACCTTTTGCCACCTGTTTCCCTGATAAACCTAAATAGTTGTCTGGTGTTGCCAATCGCAAATACCTTTTCCATCTCTTTCGCCTTTGTCACCCACCACTGTTCACGGTCGTTGCGAAGACTTTTTGTTAGTTTTCGTTTGAGTACCTTTCGCTCCTCATCATAAACGCAGCTCGCTGGAATCAGTCTTCTGGAGTCAGCCAGTTCGGATGAGGCGGTAGAGATCCAATAGCTCTTACTAACTTTTGGTTTTAGATTATTAATAGCTTTCACAGCTGTGTCTACAGCTGACTGTATGTTGTGCCAGGCTACCTCAGGGGAAGTCGTGCTGTCGACCTCAGAAACTCGTTTCGCAATTTCTTCCTTACATAAGGACCCAGCGTCTCGTTCTAGTTGGGGACGCAACTGTTTCGCTTCCGTCAATTTTTTATGTCCATTTAGTCGTAAGCATAAACGTGAGCGAACCAGAGCGTGATCGGAGTCTATGCACGTGTTCTAGAAGGAGCGACGGTCTTCTACTGACCCTCACCAACGACGCCCTATGGCTATGTGGTCTAATTGTGTCCAGCGTTGGCTTGATGAAGGGGTCCCCAGGTCAGACAGTGTCTCTCCTTGTGTTTGAAGTTAGTGCTTACAAGAAACAGATGATTATCTGAACAAAACTGTAGTAGACGGTCACCGTTGTCGGTTCGCTGGCACGGAACTCCATAGGTGCCACCGACATCCTTCTCAGATTGACACAATTTCCCTACTGGAGCATGTAAGTCACCAGCTAGAACGATTATATCCGAGCGTTTAGCCTTTCGCACCAAACTAGACAGCTTTTGATAGAACTCATCCTTCGTTTCATCTGAACTGCAGTCAGTGGGGGCGTAGGCGGAGATTACGAAAAGGCATCGGCGAGTAGCGCAGTCCTTTCTCCTTTTTACTGACGGACGGCACACATTCGGCTATCTACCGGGATCCAGTCAAGTAATGTCTTTTCTGCCCTAGTACTCAAAGCTATCCCTACGCCAGCTAATCCTCGTGAACTAGCTGTGGCATCTCCTGACACCCTCAAGGTGAATTTTTCAGATTCATCCTGTTGGCCAGGTGGGGTTAGGTGAATAACCACCCTTGGGTCTTGTATGCGTGTTTCTGAAACACAACATACATCAATGGCTCGCGACGCCAGAGTCTTGGCTAGTGATGCTTGTTGTCCTATTTGGCAAAGTGTCCTAACATTAAATGCTCCTATATGAAATTGGTGGCGTGGCTTTAGGAGACTATCGGTGGTGGTTTTTTGGCTTCCATCGTTTTTAGTGGACACAGAGTGAAGAGGAAGTGAGGAGCCATCAAGTAGAGGAGTTGCATCAGTGGAAGGAAGGCAAGATGATAGACAAGACGATGAAGACAAAGATGAATGAGGATTAGAGAGGTTTCGTGTGCATTTCAGATTGTGAGGGCGATTATTACTTCCCGGCTGCCCACACTGTGGAAGTTGGTTGCGTGACCGCAGAGCCCAGGGACAACTGCTTGAGGCCGGTCACATGCGACCTGTTTTTGTTTGTTCTTTATTGTGTGGTGTGTCTCAGTAGCATATTTATCACTTCTGCCCTGTGACACGGCAGCAGGAAGCGCGGTCGTTGTTACTCCGGGCCCCGACCGATCCGGCATGATATTTTGTGAATTTGTTTGAATCATAGTGGCTGTTTTTTGTCTAACCGCTATCCAAACAACCTTTCTGGCATGGTAGGACCTCGGAAGACATAAAGCTAAGCCAGTATAGCTTGTTGAGACATTGCAGTGTTCAAGCCCGACCACCACGTCGAGGCAGCAGCTTTAGGTTGGGCAGCTTTACTTTGTGATATATGTAAAAGCTGATCCAGAACCGTGCATAACCACCATTCTTACGATCGCATCATAAAATACTGTTATTATAATTAAGTACTAAGATATCTAGAAAGCTACGAATAATAAATCCTGGATATTTTTACACGACTAATTTTCTGACCAAAAACATTTACATACGTATGTGTTAGTTTGCCTGAACATTTGTAGGGTAAACGATGGGAGCTTTACTATTAGTCAAAAGAATTCCAGAAAATAGACAACTACTCAATTTCTTTTCTGTCCAGACGTGAATTACTGAAGTTTATTTCCAATGGTTACTTTACAGTACACTTTAAGGTGAAAACTAAACAAAACTAAAACTGATTGCTATTGAAAAAGTTGGCAGTGCATTAAAATACGATTCCGTAAAATGCATACAGGCAGTCACGCTGAAAACATAAAATGCATTAAGAAACCTAAGTTAAACTGACAGTAACTTACGAGACCTTGATATCTGAATGAATCACTGACTGTGCGGATCATTAACCAGCAAGACCAAATAAGCTCGAATCGAAGATCCGTAAAAAAATCCAACGCTATTACGAGCCCCAAGCCAGCAAAATTTTAAAATAGGTCGCGAATCTGAAAGCCCAAGAAATATAGATATTAGTGTAGTAAGAACGTTATACATATCAATTTCACTGATTCATCAATTAAGTAGAATAAAATGGAGATATTAAGATTTCATCCATACATTATTTGTAAACAAGATTTTATAACCAAATGAAAAACCTTGGACAACAGTGTATCAATATTAGATGGTAAATTTAGAAAAGCACACTGAATTTACGTATATATATATATATATATATATATATATATATATATATATATATGAAAATAATAGCTGCGATATGAATGGGTAGTTGAATATCGGCATATTACCTTTGGAAATGAGTAGTGAAATGTCAATCGATATATCCTACAGTGATAAAGTTTTCACAAATCTCTGGTACATGTGATCAGCGAAGGAATCGTAAGACCAGTGTTTCGGTTAAGTTTTCCCCTTACTGGCTTTATCAACGTGGAAATTCATAAAAATGTGCAGGCTGTCTTACTTCTAAGTGGCCTTTTCTGAAAAGTCCTTAAGTTCCACCCTCCTCCGGGATCGTCACGCTTCAGAATCCATTTCTCTAATCAGCCTAAACAGACCTTGGCTATTACCTACTGCTGATACATTTTTCACTTTTTTGGCTTAGCATGGTTTGCAGTAATTGTAGACTTTCAGTCAGCTAACATATGAGTTTTTACTCTTCGTTAAGATTTGATACAGATGGGACTCAAGTTAAAAGACCCAAATGGGATAGAAAAAAGACTGAAATCAAGCACGCAGCCACCAATTCGGGCAACACGTACAACTCATCATTCATGTACAATTTTATATTTTAATTTAACAAATATTTTAGCACTACGCAGATCAGCATATTGAAGGTTTGAAGTAGTTAAGGGTTTTGCAGTACATCTAAACGAATCACTTATTCCGACGATGAAGCGTGTATAATCAAATAACATAGCTCCAAATTCTCATCCTCAGTCCGAGGTTAAAGTCTACTATTACAAACTCTGATTCAGTGGTTTGAATCTAAGGGTACAAAGCAACACATTGTAGCCCTAAATGAGCATGTGAGGAAAAGGAATGCCTACTGCACAATCATTTAAGGTTGTTAGCTTTTGTCAATAGGATATTATGTATCAAGCATGTTTACCATCCGGCGGATTTGTCTAATTAGTGAATTGTGGTTAGTTACATAAAGTTGACTTTATTATAGCACCGAAACTTACTGGTCTTCATCTATATGACCGAAATGATGCGCCATCCCGACCAGACGCTGAGAAAAGTTATTCAGTCAGAAGTTCAGTCTACGTTTTGTGCCAGCTGGTACTCATCACCGAAATCCCAAAGAAGATCATATTTCCCCAAAAATACAAACAACCACTATGACAATCAGGCTAAGACTAGAAATCTGTGATATTGGTTGCCCTATGTTGCACTCGGAACCCAAGGGAATAATAATAACAATAATAGAAATACTAATGATAATAGTGAACTGGATTTATAAACACTGAGTTAGACTATTTAGTCTTGTGACCCAAACAGGCAAAATTCGACTGGACCAAGTTGTGGCACCAAACTACGGTGATTTTAATACAGGAAAATTCTTTTTTTTTACTGTTGCCGAATGGCGAGGTATGCATTACAAGCCTGAAGTACTCACTGTAATGGAAATGATTAGTCGCATATTTTTTAATACTTGACTAATTAGTGGCCACAATTAATCTTTAAATATACCGTAAATTTTGCTGCGCTTAATATTAGCGATTATATGCTGGCTCACATAATATACCAACAAATAAGTTAAATGTGGTTACAAGTACAGCATAGCGAAATGAGAAACAATTAAAAACCTCAACCCACTAACTACAAGCGCACTAAACAAGCTACAGGGTTACATTTCCGTGTGTATGCTTACTTCCCCACAGCTATCTTTCCTCTCCATTTCGTGGTCTGCTTACTTTATTTGTGTTGCTATGTATAAATTTGGTTCATTCTAGGCATACATCGACGTTGAGCGAAGTCGGTGTCTTCCACATGAAAACGGCTGGCCAATAACAAACGCTTGAATAATGAGAAGTTGGATTGAAAAAATGAAGGCGCGACAAGATTAAGAGTTGTGTAGAAATGAAAGGTGTGTTTAGCATGCCAGTGTATCGCAGCACTTTGGGTCAGGATGAGGGAAATGGTGAATAGAGGACTTTTAATTCCACTTATTATCAAAAAATTACACAAAAACAGAGGCAATGTAGCTTTTTGCTCTAGGCATCAAACTCCACCAATAAGTAGTGCCCTAACACCAATCCACATGCAATGATTGGAGGAGCTTACTCTGACCACTAACGACTAGTTGTTATGATGTACACAAACGACAGTAGTCCTGGAACAAAACTTATGTTCAGTTACATTCATATGAATGTTTTTTTCACTATACTTCAGAATCATCCCCATATCAAAAACCACAGGCACATATATACCGACATGATGCATGTAGGGAGAATATCTAGGCGCAATAGTACTGGTGTCCGGATTCCAGTTCGTCATTAATCCTGTTTGAATTTCCTGGCACATTGCCTTATGACGCTAACCTAAAAATACACCAACTTAGTGATAAGGAGCATACAGGGTGATCTAGTACCACCCAACTGTTGAAAACCTCGGTGGGCCATTAGGCAGCTGATAATCGACGAATCTGACATCGTTTCATATGTGTGGGAACATCCATACATATCATATAAACCACCTCGTTTGTCGAACTTCTAGGCCTATGTCCCTCGACTTGTTTATTGATCGTGGGATTACGATACAGGCATCACTGGATCTAATATCTATAGAATATACAGCACTAGCGAGAACTTACTTCGCAGCTCACGATATGCTGGTATATCATTTGATAAATACTGCTCCCATGGAGTTTTGCAGTACGCAAAAGCAGTGAGGATACTGAGGAGAGCCGATGTGGTTCACTTTCACGCAAATACTGCCTAAAAATACCTCCGACATTAGGCAGGCAACGAAATCCCTGTGGAACAGCAGACTACAGAAATTGGTAGCTTTTTGTGATGACTCCTAAGTCCCCGACAACCCATAAAGATTGGCATGACTTCTTAACCGACTCTTATTCAGTAAAACTCCAAAAACCGTAAAAACTTTAATTATTACCCAAGTTACGGCAGCTGTGGCTAGCACACCCGGTAATCATTGAGCTTTACGCACTTACACAGACTGAAATGATTCGTTTGGTTTGTTTCTGCGATTGTTTCTTTTTATTCTTCCATGCTCATTATTCCGTCTTCGAATATACATTACTTAAGTTCAAACACATTTGACCTTTTCCGACGGATTTTGAACCCCGCGCTTTCTTTTAATGGCCTGTATTGGATGCAGTCCAACTTCAAGAAAGAGTTTCTAATGTATTCAATATTCCTCTGAAGAACCCATATGTATCAATTTCACTCCAGATTGGCTCTTATTAGTGATTAGACCTCTGAGTGGTTCGTCCCACCTTCCTTAATTAGTTTATACCCCAAGTGAGTCCTATGGAACCTTAATGTGCGTGATTTGTAGCATGCAGTGTGTAAAGACGGCCCGTTGTGGCTGGAAAGTAAGATACTTATATTGTGATTTTTGTTCAATATGGAAGAATAGTCATTTAAATAAATGATTGAGAATAATAATAAGTAAATCAATGAAGAAGAATAAACAGATAAGCTAGACGACAGAGTGCCAGGTTCAAGGGCAAGCTTAGTTGAAACCCAATGACCAAGCGTGCTGTGCGACAATCATGTGCCCATTCGGATGAAAGGTAGTCTGCTGAACACAGATCGCATGTTGTTGCATGACTATCCCGTGTCACTTAAACGTTTCCACAGGAGGTTCAGGGACAAGGATAAACGTTTTCGTGATATATTTTCGCGCACTTTGTGGGTTTTGGTATTCATGTCCACAGAGGTGTTATAATTGCTCAGTTTTGTGAAAATATATTATGCAAAAGGCTTTTATTCCCGAAAAAAGCAATATTTTCCTTTATTATGTTCGTATTAGTGCGTAAACGCGTCTTGATATCCCAGACGAATTATTACTAAAAAAGCCATCCTTTATAAGAAATTTCGCATAAAAAGACTATTATTTGCGTTTGAGAGCCTTAAAGCTTTGTTATTTGTGAGTTGTTTTAGATCCTAAGGTTGTTAATCGACTACAGGCAATGGTTGTTGTCATAACAGTTATTTTATGTGAAAGTGAAAATAAAGGAGAAATAACCCACAGAAATAAGTTAGACGTACGTTTTGAGGATGTCAAATACTTTTTCAATCATCCGTGATGATAGAAATATTCCATAACACATCCAAGAGATCATGTGATGAATGAGGCAAGCTGTTGAATTTCCCGGTGATTATATCCAGTTTGATGAAGTTCGTAGTTAAAATTGGTCAGGTGAAGATGTGATAGTAGTTTAATTTACATTTAACAATACTTTGTTAGTGGTCTGAGGTAAAAATATTAGAGAGAAAAATACACGCTAGATGAAAGTTCCAGAAGTTGTCTCACTACTATAAAGTGTCTCATTCGTTGATTTTTCCTCTGCATATGAACGTCGCCGCATACTGGTATGCGGAAAAGGTCGTCACTGTTAGCAACTCATAAGATCGCCGCTTATTTAAAGTCCTCTAATGCATTCATAGCTTCTTACATATGTGCTGCTTCCTCTAGCACTGATTACCTGCCATGAAATTATCGCTAACCAAGAACATTACTGCCAAAGCTAATTCACGACAGAAATATCGAAGTACAAAATAGTGTGCGTATATCGATAACTCGAGAAATGAATTTGGACCCTCAGGAACGTAGTCGTTGATTACCACCATAGAGGCTAAACAGTTTCAATGGCAGGTACAACGAAAAGAGCGGTGTCCGAATAAAAACAGTGAAA